TTATTTTCATTTTGCATTTTTCAATTTCAAGTTATTGTATTAAAAACACTCTGGGCAGGCTTCTGTGAACTCATCAAGCATCCATGTCCCAGCCTCTCCTCACTGGGTGACTAACATTATTCACACAGGTCATTGACGATTAGCATGAGCTGTTCCTGCTACAATATCAACCCTGCTCCCGGATGAGGCTTCAGCACTAATTTTATTGTGTTTCCTGGTAGCGCAGAAGGAAGATATTTTCCAGTTAATCACTGGCTGTAAAACTGTCCTACTCTGGCTTTCATGAAAAACCAGGAGAAGGGCTGAGCTGGAAAAGTAGGTTTCTGCTGGGTTTGCTTCTCTAGGCCTCTGACAAGATCTTTTTAAGTGTGGAAAAGTTCAAAAAGAATCCCCCTTCTCCCGATCTCTTAAAACCAGATGGATTGCCAGATTGAAGTGTTGTGTTTCTCTTGTGCTTCGGTATACTCCTGTCACATAGCTCTGCGGGGCCTGTATCTGCTAGTCTGGGAAGCACACTGAAAGGAAAGAGGTGGGGGAAATAGATCATTAAGCTGCTGTCACAGAATATTGACTCCTGGGTCCATAGCATGGGGAACACTCTGGCTTTGAAGATGATGTGGATTGACAGCTCTTTCTGTGCCTTGTCTCAATGTATCTACAGATAAAAATGAGTGCCAGTTTGGAGCCACTGTGGTCTGTGGGAACCACACATCTTGCCACAACACACCAGGGGGCTTCTACTGCATTTGCCTAGAAGGATATCAAGCCACAAACAACAACAAGACATTCATTCCCAATGATGGCACCTTTTGCACAGGTACTTAAGAAGGGGGCTAAGGTGTTGGCAACTTGGTACTGACAGGACAGTATCTGGGCTGTGTATTTGTTATTCTTAGAGAATTCATGTTAATTTTGTCAGAAGGGATAATGGTATTGCGGTATACAGGATCATATTCTTATTTTGGGAGATGCATACTGAAGTATCCAGGGGTGTTATGATGACGTAGCTAGTAGTACTTTAGTCTGTAAGCTATTTTAATTGACAAAATGTGAACTATTGAACCTTGGGTAATATTCTTTTTTTCCCTATTACAATAGTCTTATTCTGGTTTTATGTGTTTGAACACTTTTATAATGAACAACAAAGAGGACTCTCCGGAGATGGTGTGCCACTTGCAGGATTTTGTCACCAGAGGTGGAGTGTCCTTGGGGTGACTGGCACATGCCAGCTTTGAGCATATTACTGTCTAAGGGCCTGGCAGTGACACCAGGCTGTTGTTCACAGTAGGTCAGAGATGTGGGCTTATCTCCCACATGAAGAGGCGAGTGAGGAGTATGACTTTTCAGACCTCAGCAGCTTTGCAGTTCAGATTTCTGGGCATACGTTGGTCAAATACAAGGGATGGACAAAACCCTCCTAATTTTCAGTAGCTTCTCTCTTATCTGAACTCTATTTACAGCATGTCATGATAATGCAGCTCTTTGGCTTTCTAGGAAAATATTTAAACAATAATGAGAAGGAAAGGCAGGAAAAGACTCCTGGTTCCAAGACGCTCTTGCATAGACTTAATGACTCTGCTTAAAAGCTTTGTGATTTTTAAAGGTTTTCAGGGAAAAGAAAAGGAGAGGAGAATGTGTTTTATCTTACTTACCAGGAACCACAGGTTCTGATGTTCTGATTCACTCTCCCTCTTGATTTGTACCAAGGCAGAATCTCTCAAAGGATACATTTGATTTCTTCTTGGCATAAGAAAATATTTTATAATGTCCTGTTGTTTTAGGTAGCAAATTACTGGCTGCATGGTTGCAGAAATGCAGTGTTGCAGTATTATATTAGGTGTATTAAAAAGAAAAGATCCTAATTTAAAAAACATACAGAATGGTGATCTAGTGTTGAGTTCATTCAATACACATTTCTTATGTGCTTCTTATGTGCCAAGGCTGTGCCGGTGGGAGGTGACAGGCACACAGCTAGTTTCAGTATAACATGTTAGTCATAGGTAAGCAAAGGGCATTTACTGGAATCTAGGGGGGGGGCACGTATCTTGACAATGAGGAAGGGATCAGGGGAACTTTCTGGAGGATATGATACTGGCAATTGTGTTTTCAAAGCTGTGGGAGTTTGCCAGGAAAAACTTATAACTGTATATTTATCAACATTTTTATCAGTATAGTTTCAAGGAATACATTCAACTTTTAAAAGTTGGGAAGATGAAGGGGGAGGGAGAGGAACAAGAGGAAGGGGGAGGGGAGAGGAAAGAGGAAGGAGGAGAGAAGAAAATACTTTATGCAAGGGCCAAATAGGTATCAGCCAAATAAGAACCAATCTGCCTGAAACAAAATTCCAATCTGGGCTCTGCTTTTATTTATTCTACTTTTTGCAATTATTTAGTGACTTTCCTTTTTATTTAAAAAAAGAAATTAAAACATTTCTGTATCATAAGATCCACCCCTTTGAAATGTACAGTTCAGTGGTTTCTAGTATATTCACAAAATTGTGCTACTGTCACCACGATCTCATTTTAGAACTCTTCCATCCTCCTCAAATGAAGCCCATATCCATTGGCGGTCATTCCCATGACCCTTCCCTTAGAGGTCTCCAGTTACCATTGTGTAAAAGTTGATGGACTACTTTTGTTGACGATCCTGTTTCTTTCAGAATCACAGTTGCCAGAGAAACATCACTGAACTTTAGCTGGGACAGAGCTTAACAAATTTGGGGGTATCAGCAGTTAGTAAGGATTTGCTTGGAACCACAGGGTATGAATCCTTGTTCCTAGATTTCGAGGAATCCTGCATCCAGTTGTTTATTGTACTTTGCAGTGTTGAAGTCAAACTCAGGAGCTGGTTGCAGGTAGGCCCCTTGGATGTTACCAATGACAGACAGAGGAGAAATGAGTTACAAGGGTTCTAGTGTGGGATGATTCCAGCTAGTCCTGGAGACCAGCAGATGTCCTGGCCTCCAGAACTGCCCCTGAGTGACTCCTGGGAACCATGGAAATTTTTCCATGAGCCACAACACAGAAGAAGAAGCTCTGTGACATTCTCGTGTGAGGGTGGTTTGACTTGGGTGGGCTGAGTCAGTGGAGAGAAAAGAGACTGATGTGAGAATAAGGCCTGGGGCCATCATCTCCCTGCTGACATGACTCTACATGGTACAGCTCTAGTAAGGTCTGCTATAACTTTTCTGTGGCTTTCAATTCCTCAAGTATTGGGAACCCATCCAACTCTGGTGGCAGCAGCAACCTTCTTTTTCATAAGTTCATTTCTTACAGTGTCAGGGCCTGATGCCATTTCTTCTGGAGAAAGGTAACAGCACCTCAGCCTTGGCTGAGAAATGGCTTAAAGGTAAACAAACAAACAAAAAACAAAAAACAAAAACCCCAAACCTAGAGTGAGTGCATGCTTTTCCATTTATCAGTTCCTGGAGTCTCCTGCCCAAAGCTTGTATCCTATAGTTCTGTCTATGGTGAGGTAAACACCTTCATTCCTAGATGTAAATCCATACCCCTACCAAGACCAACTTTAGTCTGTTGACTCCCCTCCCAGGTCAGGAATCTCATTCTCCAGGTGGAATCATTGTCCACAAGCTTCTCAGCTGCCCTGCTGTTCTAGATTCTGGAGCAACCTGCTGTGGCCTCAGATACAAATGTGAAGTCCCTCCAAGATTCTGCTTGCCTTCTGTGGGGTATTCCTCAGCAGACTTGTGGCTGTCCCGAGGTTTCTCCAAATGGAACTTTGCTCTTCAGATCCAAGTCCTTTGTTTTAAATGGATTTTATTCTTTCTTTTTCTTTTTTTCTTTTTTTTTTGAGTTGGAGTCTCACTCTGTCACCCAGACTGGAGTGCAGTGGCCGCTCCCAGCCACCGCAGCCTCAACCTGCTGGGCTCCGGCAATCCTTCCGCCTCAGCCTTCCAAGTAGCTGGAACTACAGGAGTGCGCTACCACATCCGGCTAATTTTTGATTTATTGTAGAGATGAGGTCTCGCCAAGTTGCCCAGGCGAGTCTCGAACCCGTGGGCTCAGGCAATCCACTCACCTCAGCCTCCCAAAGGCGCGGGATTACAGGCTGAGCCACCGAGCCTGGCTTATTCTTTCCTTTTCTTTCTTTTTTTTTGTTTTAAGTGGGGGTCCTGCTCTATTGCTCATGCTGGAGTGCAGTGGCACAATCATGGCTCATCCAGTCTTGAACTCCTGTAGTTGGGACTATAGGTGTGTACCACCACACCTGGCTAATATATATATATATTTTTTTTTTGAGTTGGAGTCTCACTCTGTCGCCCAGGCTGGAGGGCAGTGGCCACTCCCGGCCACTGCAGCCTCGACCTGCTGGGCTCCGGCGATCCTTCTGCCTTAGCCTTCCAAGTAGCTGGAACTACAGGCACGCGCTACCATGCACGGCTAATTTTTTGATGTATTGTAGAGATGAGGTCTCGCCAAGTTGCCCAGGCGGGTCTCGAACCCGCAGGCTCAGGCAATCCATTTACCTCAGCCTCCCAAAGGCACGGGATTACAGGCTGAGCCACCGAGCCTGGCAACCTAGCTAATATTTAAAAAAATGTTTGTAGAGATGAGGTCTCACTATGTTGCCTAGCTTGGTCTCAAACTCCTGGGCTCAAACAATCCTCCTGCCTTGGCCTTTCAAAGTGCTGCGATTATAGGCGTGAGCCACTGTGCCTGGCCTGGATTTTATTCTTGAAGAGTCAGTCATGTTGTACCACTCTGAAAGAAGGAAGAAGCAAGAAAGACAAATCCAAGGAAAAGCACACGGGGTGGGGTTGCTCCCTACTGCCCAGGGCAGTGCTTATAGCCGGTTAGGAGCTCCTAGCGTACCTCCCCAGGGAGTCCCCCCAACTCCTGTTTAGGTCTCCAGATGTGGTTGGTGAGGACATCAGGCCCCTGCTCTTAGGAGAGAGAGATAGGCCCAAGATTCTCAAAGGATGGCTGAAGCAAGGCTCTAGCACTCCCAAATGCCAGAGACATTGACCAAGACATTGTTGTTCTTTTCTGGGGGTGAGGAAGATACGCCTGAGCTCTCCCTGCATGGTTTAGCATCTGCAGGCTAACGCCTCCCATGCTTTAATACTGTCTCCCATTACTTGCTCAAATCCCAGAATATGTGTGGGCTCCTCCAGCAATTGAAATTGGGTAGAATTCCTGGTTCCCAGTGATCAGTGTGAGTGATGAGGTGTCAATGGTCCAAGACCAAACAAAATGAGAATATAACAGGTTTTTATAAAATCACATTTAGCCGGGCTCGGTGGCTCAGCCTGTAATCCCGCGCCTTTGGGAGGCTGAGGTGAGTGGATTGCCTGAGCCTGTGGGCTCGAGACCTGCCTGGGCAGCGAGACCTCATCTCTACAATAAATCAAAAAATCAGCCAGGCATGGTAGCGCATGCCTGTAATTCTGGCTACTTGGAAGGCTGAGGCGGAAGGATGGCCGGAGCCCAGCAGGTCGAGGCTGCGGTGGCCGGGAGCGGCCACTGCACTCCAGTCTGGGCGACAGAGTGAGACTCCAACTCAAACAAACAAACAAACAAACAAAAATCGCATTTAGCAAATTCAAAAATTTTCTTCTTATTTCTGGGAGCAAAAATGTTCTCTCTTTTATAAAATTATGATCTTAGTTGTTTTATGGGAAAAAAAAGATATTTCCTGGCAGTATAGAATATTGGCCATCTTATATCAGTCCTTCCAGAATTACTGCTCTTTGAAATCCCAAAGTCTGGGAACAGTGAGACTTTGTTCAGTCACTCTGCTCCTGGTCACCGCCTGGATGGTTTATGCAAATGTCCTAGGAAAAGTCTCATCTCTAGGGTACTTTTTTCTTCCAAGTGGAATTGGTGTTTGTGGCTCTGACGGAATTCTTAAAGTTTTTCCTCCAAGTGGAATTAATGTTTGTGGCTCTGATGGAATTCTTAAAGTTTTCTGGGGGGAAAAAACTGCTAACTGACAGGTTTCTTTTCCAGCCTCTGAATTATTATGCAGTATTTACCCTACACCCGCTGTCTCCAGCAATCTTTGGTCTGGCAGAAAAACCTGCAAAGGGGCATGTCTTGTCCCTCTTGAAGCCTGTTTTCAGCTCTTCTAATTTTGATGAAATTAATGATAATTTAATTACTTGTTACTACCTGCCACATGATCCTGTGTTCATGAATTGGGAAGCTGTCTGTTCCTTGCATTTTCACTCTAGCATTTTAAAAAAAATATCTGGAGCTCTACCTTAGATATTTTAGTATGAAGGTGGGACCATTCCTATTTTCCAGTAACTGGACATTTTTAGCATACTCTTGAGTTCATTTTGTTGGTGTCACGGAGCTGCTGATGGTTGTTTTTCTTTATGAATTCTCAGAGCACATTGACAAATACTTATTGAGCACTTCTGTATTTTCACTGCCTATGATGTGAAGGATATATGAGAAGAACCCAGAAGGGTTCTTCATGATACAGTTGCAAACAAACACATCCATTTATAAGGGTAGACTGAGGGTGTGAAAAATGGCTGTCACAAGGTCCTTCCCTTTTTTCTTTTTCTGTTTTTCTTTTCTTTTCTTGTATTTGGGATGGGTCTCAAGACATAGATGAGTGTGAAGTTTCTGGCCTGTGCAGGCACGGAGGGCAGTGTGTAAACACTCACGGGAGCTTCGAATGCTATTGTATGCATGGATACCTGCCAAGGAATGGACCTGAGCCTTTCCACCCGAGCAGAGATGCCACATTATGCACAGGTGGGTTTCTGCCAAAGAATTCAGCATCTCAAGGTGAGATTCTGTTGATGGCGACTTCTGATCTGAGCCTGTGTTTACAGGTCCAGGTTGGGGATATAAGTGGAGATAATCTGATCCTTTGCACATTTGTGCAGCCCATTAAATAAAGCAAATAACATCATAATTGGGATAGAAGGAGCCATATTAAACAAGCTGAAATTAGTAAGCTTTGAGGATTTTTTTTGCAGTTAATAGGTATTCTGATATTAAACACTATGTTAGATAGTAAATACCACTGATCTGTTAAGGACTGAGCACCTTAAAAGTGGCCCTTAACATTATAAAGGTACATATATCCTTTTTTTTAGTGAGTAGGAGTCTCACTCTGTCGCCTAGGCTGGAGTGCAGTGGCATACTCATGGCCACTGCATCCTTGACCTGCTGGGCTCAGGCGATCCTTCCAAGGAACCATAGTTGCACACCTCCATACCTGACTAATTTTTTGATTTATTGGAGATAAGGTCTTACCAAGTTTCTCAGGCAGGTCTCGAACCCCTGGACTCGGGCAGTCCTCTTGCCTTGGCCTTCCAAAGTGTTGGGATTCCAGGTGTGAGCCATTGTGCCCAGCCTGTAGGTATATCTTAAGATATTTGGCAATTAAATTTTTTTATTTCATTAGACTAAACTTCTCTTTAGTTAGTATAAATTTGTGAAGGTTGATTGTTAAATTCTTTCAACTTTGTGCATGTGTAGATGCTATTACCTGTGGAAGGTCAGAAGATTGAATAAAGACAGTTTATGGAAATGTGCCCAGAAATCATGTGGAAATGAACCAGTGGACTTAAAATATGGCTCGGGGGTGGGTGTGAGGATGTGGTAGAGGGAGGGAGAGACTGAATTTTGAAAATTTACATTCCCATAGTAATGAATTTGACATTAATTTATTTTCAGAAATAGACTGTGGCACCCCTCCTGAGGTGCCAGATGGCTATATCATGGGAAATTATACCTCTAGGCTGGGCAGCCAGGTTCGTTATGCTTGCAGAGAAGGATTTTTCAGTGTTCCAGGAGATACGATTTCAAGATGCACAGCACTGGGCACTTGGGAGTCCCCAAAATTATATTGCCAAGGTGAGTTTTCAAAAGGTTTGGGTTCCCATGTTGTACTATCTTGAGATTGTTTTCATATTTTTTCTCTAAATTTCACTTTGGGATAGTAAATGAGTAAAATAAATTAATAAATTCCTATTTGTTTCTAATAGATTTTCAGTTGATTCTTTTGGTATTACCAGGAATATTATCATCTATAAATAATGATAATTCCATATTTTATTCTCTTTTATTCATAAATGTTATGTTTTTCTCTTGATTAACCACTTGGCTAGTATTTTCAGAACAACAACTTAAATAGGGTAGTGCTGATTTTGAATTTTTTTCCTTTTTTTTTTTTTTTTTGGCAACAGGGTCTTACTCTGTTGCCCAGGCTGGATATAGTAGTGTGATCATAGCTCACTGCAATCTTGTACTCCTAGGTTAAATGATTATCCTGACTTCGCCTCCTGAGTAGCTAGGACTACACTACCTCGCCTGGCTAATTAATTAATTAATTTTATTTATTTATTTTTGAGTCAGGGTTTCATTCTGTTGCCCAGACTGGACCACAGTGGCACGATCATGGCTCACCATGACCTCAACCTGCTGGGCTCAGGCGATTTTTTTCACCTGAGCCGCCTGTCTAATTTTTTTGATTTTTTGTATAGAGACAAGATCTTGCTATGTTGCCTAGGCTGGTTTTGAACTCCTAGGCTCAAGCAATCCTCTTGCCTCGACCTCCCTAAGTACTGGGATTACACCACTGTGACTGACCACATTAAAAAAAATTTTTTTTTGTAGAGATGAGGTCTCGCTATGTTGCTTAGACTGGTCGGATGTTATTTTTTTATTCCTCATTTTTTATGGAAATGTTTTTGGTGTTTTGTCATGGCCTTTGGTGTTAGATATTCATAACATCAAAAGACCGAGATCAAAGTATGTACACTTATACAGCACTATGTGCCGAGTACTGTTCTAAGCACTCTATATACAACGACAAACTGTAGACATTAGTGGTCCTGTAAAGAGTACAGTGGAGCTGAAAACTTCCTATTGCCCAGTGACCTCATAGCTGTTGTGATGTTGTAGTGCAATGTATCACTAACGTGTTTGTGGCAGTGCTGGTGCACACAAGCCTACTGTGTTGCCAGTCATAGAAAAATGTACAGAAATGCCCTAGGCCTTCACATTCACTCACCACTCACTAACGGACTCACCCTGAGCAACTTCCAGTCCTGCAAGCTCTCTCTTCGTGGTAAATGCTTGAGACAGATGTACCGTTTTTTAAAGCTTTTATTATCTTTTCCTGTACTGTTTCTAAGTTTAGATACACAAACATTTGCCATTGTGTTACAGTTACCTCCTGAGTTCAGTGCAGCAATAGGCCACACGGGTTTGTAGCCCAGGGGCACTAGGCTAGACCATATAGCTTAGCTGTGCAGCCGGCTAGACCATCTAGGTTTGTGTGAGTACACTCTGTGATGTTTGCACAACAAAGAAATCATCTAATGGCACATTTCTCAATATGTCTTCGCTGTTAAGTGACACGTGATTGTTATTTGTTTAAAGTCGGGCAACTAGTGATAGAGTTGAAATCTGAATCCAGGTGTTTGAGTTTCAGAGGTTGTATTTTCAGTTACTGTTAAACTACTTCTGTTTTTATGATGATGTTGGCTTTTGGTTTGTTTTTCACTTTTGACTTTCTTTGTTTCCAGAGATGATCATTTTACTAGTTTGTGGTTAAATGCATATCATCTTAAGGAAGCATTCTCTACTCCCACTTAACTAGGAGGTGTTTTTTTTTTTTTTTTTTTTTT